AAGAGAAGCATGTCGGAGAACTTTTTAGCGTCATCGTATCCCATCACGTACAGTCAAAGTTTTTCTGGAAGAAGAGGATTCCAAAGAAGGTTCATCCCTGAGCCGGGAAGAGCCTTGGCACATCGAGAACAACGATACTAATGGGTTTCATATTTAAGGGTGCCTGAGCCAGTGAAGCCTTTTCTTGAGCAATGCAGATTTTACCGAGTGAAAATTTACTTTAAGGCATGCCTCCTTATCTGTTATTTAACATCGACTTTAATTACATGTTAGTCATACGGAATCTGCAGTATAATTCTGGTTGAGCATGTGATGTCTTACGTGCAAGAAAGACCGATTTGTCCGAGGTGCGCTAACTGCCAGACAAATAAATGGATATTCCAACTAGCAAAGAAACATCGTTGTATATATCCTTCTTGGCCGGTGGGTCTGTAGATCTGAGTATACATGATAGATTGAGGTACTTCCCCTTCTGATTATTAGACCCTAGAAATTGAGAGAAGAAAATTTTGTTATTCGCTGAGAATTGAAATCTACTCAGGATTGGCAGAAGCCATATTTGATCAAGTGCAATGAAAAAATGCGTTAAACTCTACAAAGGGCTGCAGAAACAAGGATGCGGCCCATGTCTGATCTTGTCTTGCATTCCTGATAAGGATCTGATCCCGGGAACGTGCTTTCTGCTCTAAACTTTTCTGTAACTGACGAAGCTCTAGCTCGCTTACATTGAATCAAACGTTCTGCAAGTTCTGTAACATCTATTAGAAAAGTTACGCAACAAAATGCAACAGTTACCGCAATGCAAGGTACTGATTGATTAGTGGCATTATCTCTCTCTCTCTATCGATATATCTATATATATATACATATATATATCTCGCTCTGCCCCTGCAAGTTACTCCTCAGAAATTCAATGTATTGTGCATTAACCCAACCTTCCAGAGTCCCAAGCTGCCGTGTACCTAACAGGCAGCCTTGGGAGTTCCAACTCAGCTTGGCAGACTTGGAGAAATCCAATTGCTACCGTATAAAACACCAGGTTTTGTCATCTTTTGCAACATTGAATCTAGGAGAATATTGATGACCGTAAGTTGGATATTTCAACCTAGAATTCTTGGTTATTATTCATTTGAATAGGAGGTAATAGCAATGGTTTTTTTCTTATATAATATATAATGAATATAAAAACAAGGTCCGATGAATGTACATGGAGTACACAATGAGTCTTAGTTGATTCTATGAATTACAATTGATATGCAATACTATTGAATTATTTTTGAATAACAAACATTCTGAGTCTTTGATAGTCCAACTTGTCACAATATCAATTAATTTTGATGTTAAATTAAATTTATTATATTTTAAAACTAATTTTAAATAAAAATTGTATCTATATCTAAAAATATTTTTAATATTTTATTATCATTTTTTAGCCTAATTTAGTTGTATCTTTATTGTTGCATAAATTTCTATTATTTTACTCACTAAATTCTTTGTTATGATATTTTTAAATTTTTTAATAATCAAAAAATATATTTTTAATAATATCTACAATTGCCAAAAAATAAAATTTATTGAATTAAGACTTTATCAAATTATTAAGTGAATTTTGATAATGAATAGAAACATATCTAATTTTCTTGGTGATATTTGAAAATACATTGCAAACATTGTTTTTATACTTAATTTACACATTTTATTTTTGAATCAATATAAAAATAAAGATAATTTGGTACCAATTTTTAACATGACAAAATATATCCTTTAAAACTTTAGTAAAAATTATGACCCTTAATTAGATATAATATCACTTAGAAGTCTATGATATCAATATAAATTGTTAAAAAAGATTTAATTTTTTCACCAATATTAGGTTTTGTATAAGATATAAAATATATTATCTTTGTCAAATAATTTATTATCACATAGAATAAAATCATAAGAATTTAAAATGAAAAGATTTATAATAAGACCCATTAAAACAAATGACTGGAGTTATCTTAGAATATCTAGACATTGAAAAGGTTAATAAGATTAATGACTTGAAGTTATTGCTTGAGAACAATTGTTATTAGATTAAATAAATACTTGATTTTTTTAATATTTGAAACCATCAAAAATCTCTTGAAAGAAACTTTAAAATTTAATTATATCAAGAGCAATTTGCGACTATAAATTCATGTCATGCTATAAATACACAAAAATATGCTTGATCTTTTGTAATAGAGAGGGTTGTCTTTAAAATAAAATTTTCTAAAATTATTATAAAAAATATTTTTAACAACTAAAACAAGAAAATTTCTTAATATACTTGAAAAAAATTATGAATAAAAGTAGTGTCAATTGGAATTGTTGACTTAGGAGCTCAAAGATGCTACTACTTTTATTTATTTTTTAAAAAATATGTTATTGATCATATGTTGCATCTTATTCCTTTGGTGCAAGATAAAAACAAATAATAAGGCTTGATATATATATATATATATATATATATCTTGTTTTTATCTTGCACCACAGGCGTTAAGGCACGGCCGTTAAGGCGTTAAGGCAAGGCGTTAAGGCACGGCCGTAGGGGTTAGACTACCCAATTCCGCCCCACCCCGCCCACCGTACCAACCGTGCTACGACAGATACGGATCGTACGTTTGACCGGGTCAACACCCGAAAGTCGGCCGAGCGTTTGGTTTCTTTCACACTTTTATCAACAGAGTCGAGTCTGGGCATTCGGAGTTGGATCCCCACCGCTCCGAATACGAGGCAAGGATTGCTGTTCTAATGGCGATGTTTGTACGGTCCGGTTAGGAATCGCTACATTTAGAATCGCGGCGAAGAGGATTAGGGATGAGCGCTGTGAGCTGGGAAGTCCCGGGGAATCAAAGCTTTTTTGTTTTGTTTTGTCTTTTTTTTTTTTCTTTCTTTTTTTTTTTTTTTTTTTCATAATAGTTTGTGGATCGAAGCTGAGAAAGTAGCTTCATACGGATCGTCGCCGGCTCCGTGTCCGGATTAGTCGTTCTAGGAGTAGTTGAGTGAAGCAGGTGGACAATAGAGAGAGCCTTGAGCTAGTTTCGATCAATGTGTGAACACGGAAAGTAGAGTCGTTCGATGGCATGGTGCAGATTAAAGAGCATTTCGCAACCGTCGGTGGTGCTTTAAAGATCCACCTGTCAATGCCGATTCAATCAGTTGCGCAGTTAGAGTATATATATATATATATATATAGCCGAGTTCGAGCGCGTTCGAACATCCTGGTTTGCTTTTTGTTCTTGATCCTGTTGAGACGCCGTTCGATTGCTTTGGTGCCACTTGGATTGTTGGATTCAGCTGGAGATTTGACTCATTCACGCCTCCTTCAATCATGAGGAGCTTGACGTATTAATGCACTTGACATTTTTGGGAGAAAATATGAAAGAGAGTGCATGTTGAACTCTGAAGAACCGCAGACTCGAGCCTTGAGATTATGCGTTCGCACTCAGTACATATGATGCGGTTTCAGTGTAGAAGATGCAGCTTGCAGATTATCATCCACTCTCTCCGTTTCCCTTCCCACAGCTATCATCCGGACTAGCATTTCCTGTACATACTAGGGAAGGGAAATGGAGAGAGTGTATAATGAATTGCATGCTTGATTGCTGAGATCTGACTTCGAAAATGACATCGAGGCCCTAGCGATGTTCGAGGTTAGAGCGCTGTCTCATGAAATTTATTTTCCCGAATGCGTTTCACTCATCCTCCTGGTCGTTGTTGAAGTAAGCATGCGGAGATAGTCACATGGCGTGTAAGTGACTTTCTGTTCATAGAAACATGTTCTGCGTCTTGTTTAGGGCCTTGTAGTGTTGAGATTGTCAGCAAGTAACAGCTCAGACGCTCATGCTCTGACAATCGTCTGAGTAGTTGCACCCTTCTGATTTGTTAGTGCAGACTTACCGTACACATCGGTTCGTCTTGGTCGTGACTAGACTTGACGTTTGTTGGTGAGTGATGTGCCCATCTGTTGTTACATTCCATTGCAGAGACGAAACAGTCCCTCTGAGCATTGCACTCTTCAACAGCTCTTTTCTAAAGGTAATTTGTATCTTACCCTGCAAGCGCTTTTAACTATGTTTCCGTGGGATGTTACCATCCAAGCAGCTGTTGGCTATTGAACAAAGTGTAGCATATTTTTCATTTCGCATATTTTTTATTTTTTCGTAGTATTGAAATTGTGTCGTTGGAGCAAGTTTCCAATCAGATCAGGTACTGTAGTTAGGAAGATGAGATTAGGAGGTTGCCTGATAGGAGCACAAGATACAAGCTTAGCAGCAGTTTGAAAGGTCGCTGGATTTACATGCAGTAATAAATTTGAGCATCTACTCAAATGTTGCATTTGGTGACACTTACAGTGTTTGGTATGGAATAGTCTGAAATTATTTTGGGACGTGAGTTCCTTTCCTCTCTGATCGAAATGGTCTTCAAACATGTATACTGTGGCCTGGTGTCCTAGTGTATCTGTAAACAAGTCTGCTAAATTATAGCTTCAACCATTTTGAAGCTGTACTTCGTAGTTTGTATTGCATAAATAATGCAGATATGCAGGGTTGTTAAATCATTTTTAGGTACTAGTGATAAACATTGAAAGAAAGTTTTTAGTTAGAAAGTCTTTCGAATTTGGTTGATACTTACATACATGATATCAGGGTGAACACCAACTGAACTCTTTTCATTGTAAATTCAGTTACAACTTGTGTAGTAAATACCACTTGAATAATTTGGTTCACATCTCCAATAAATAGCAATTTATACAAAGAACTGTTTGTCATAAAGACTGTTTAGCTAACAGTTGCACATCAACTAGCATTATTAATAACACACATTTTTTCGACAACTCTTACTGGCGCACTGTATTAATCCCAAAACTCGGTCACAAACGACTGCGACACTTCCTCACCTTTAATTTTACATATTCTGTCGTTCAAATAATCCGAAGTCACGATGATTAATTTTACACCATTCTTTACCATCAATTTCATTCAATTGTCCATGTAACTGAAATGTAGACAGAAGCATTGTCGCAATTCGATCATTAAGTAATTATAAGATTACCATTTTTCAGTCAAACGCAAACTCCAATCCCATTGCACATTACCCTAGGAAAGTAAATCTGTAAACCGGATCCATCACCTACTCTAATTGTCTTGCACCCTTGTAGAAACCTGGTGGACTGCAATAAACATGTCTTCTTGAAGTTGTTAACTCTGGACAATGTTGGAAACGTCTCTCGAGGTCGTGCACATCTACACTTGAAATCCCGACTTGGTTGATGTCGAGCATGTACGCACTGTTAAGGTAAGCGCTGCAACTCGAAGGCAGCACTAGCAGCAGCTTCTGCTACTTGTGCAGTGCTAGATTTACGTAAACGCGCAATAGCATTCTCAAGCGCTGCCAAGTCACTACTTGAAGGACGACCTCGAAGAGGTTGATTCCGCGCGTGGGCTTCTCGTAGCTCTTTGCAGGAAGCTGAGATAGCAAACAGTAGTTGGCTTTGAAGTTTAGCACATAAAGTCGGAGCATGAGACTGGGCACAGGTTTCCAACAAGTCCGCAAAGCGCCCCATGGTAGAAAATATGGGTGCTGCTGCTGATCGAGGCGCAACCTTGAGCAACAAAGCTAGACAGTCAGCTGCTGCCTCTGTAACTTGCGGTTCTCGGCTTCCACAAAGCTCCAAAAAGATGCCAGCATGCTGTCCCATGTCTCCAATGTCCTGTATAGCTGTTTAAAAAGAAACCAGACAAATCATCAGTGAGGAGTCACAGATCAAAACATCGCACAAGAAATTCTAGTTGAGAAAGTCACGTTCCTGCTCTTGGTACTAAGATTCCCATTCTCAGCGTGGAACTGGTCACGGCAACTGCGGTAACTATATCAAATCTCTCTGCAATTCATTAATACTTGAGTATACCTGATCCAGTGCGATCCCCTGCATTAACAGCAGTTGCACAAGTTCCATTGCCGCTACTAAACTCGAGGCTGTCCCCTACATTCCGAATGAGGAAGTATCGACACAATGACAGGACCGGATCGAGGAAGTCCTGCATGCCTTTAGCATGCACAAAATCTAATAGACCTCCAACATGGCTCACAATGCGAAGGTCGGACAGCAACTTGGAATCAACTTTAGGTGAAGATGCCAAGTACAAACAAAGTCGCACGTTGTGAAGATTAATGCTGGCCAGATCACTTTGCAAGAATTCAAAGAACTGAGAAATCAGCTTGAGCTGCAGGATGTCTTCAACCTGGATGCATTTGAGGTCAAGCAGCATAACCAGAAGCTTTTGAGCATACATGGGTAAAGGATCTTCGTCCTGCAGAAGGATTGGATACATGGGTAGGAAGTGCTGCTTGACGATGACTTCAAGCTTCTCTCTGCAGAAAATGAAAGCAGCTATTTCAATAAGAAAAACTTTCCGAGGTTATTCAGAACATTCATAAACTGAAACAAACAACGCATACGTAACATAAGAAACATGAATAGAAATGAAAGCAGCAAACTTGAACAAAGAGTGAATATGCGTTATCAAACTTATTCAAGGTCGATAGTGATTATTCACCAACTGAATACATGTATGATGTATACTGGGAGCAGCAATAATGGCATCCGGGAACTGTTTCAATGACTAGAAACCAACAGGGGTAACACCAAGGGGAAAACAGAGGCATCTCAAGTACCTTCTGAGCGCACCCGATGCGGTTGTTGACGACTGATGGTCCCCGGTAATGTTGGTAGATGAGATATCATCAAGAAATACAACTAATATATCGAAGAATACTTTGAGACAAAGAAACCGCATGTCTCCATCGGTATTCTTCTCATAAAGGACAGCAAGGCTAGGTAATACTCTGGCTATGAATGTATCAGGGTGAGCCAACAATGTGGTTGACTGCTGAGATAGAACCTCCACTATTTGCAAAAGCGTAGACTGGAATTCATCCTGTCCCTGCAAAGACATATCAGAAGATAAATCAGCTGGAAATAGTCAAAGAGAAGCAGCTGCGGGCCAAATGCATCATGTTCTAGTTAGACACTTCAGATGTCGTATTCAATTTGAGACAAGAGTGTGTTTCGTCTTGAGAGGTGATACCCTAAAAACAGGGAACATCTGCGTATGGATAGAAAGAAAGAAAGAAAAAAGAAAAAAGAAAAGAAATATATATATATATATATATACATATATCCCAGTCTGACCTGAAAAGAAGAAGTCTCCAGCCGCTTGAGAAAGGACGCCAATCTCTCCAACACATTCTCGTCTACCATACGATTTCTGAAAGTGGGACTATTCATCAAATTCAATACCACCGGAAACATTGGGAGAGAACTTCTCAGTGTCCCACGGGCGGGTGACGACCCAGGTCCTGGAGTTCGTCTTCCACTAGCCAACTGGATAATATCTGTATTTATACTTTCCAATATAGAAGGAACCACGCTGACAACAGTTTGCACCAAGGCCTCCATGCATTGCAGTACGTATAAGTCCTTCTCCTTAGTTAGCCTCTCTACTGCAGGAATCAGCTTGGCGTTGCAGAGAGAAGGAAGCCACCGACGGTTGATTTTGCACAGGAGCGCAGCACATACGAAGGCCTTGCCACGCAGTATTTCTGGACCCTGACAATCCATGTACGACAAACATAAGAAAATTAATCATGTTTAAGCCATGCAATTACTACTGTAACCCTCCTGTTGATCCATGTGCCCTGTGTACGAGATCTAGACTAATACTGCAGGACAACATTTGATCTCCAAAGTCGTTATTTCAAGAGCAGAAAACTATGCGTCAGTGGAAGAGGTTAGCACCATCGTAGTAGATGGGAACTGTAGCTGCAGGACCATAACAAGGCTGATAAGAAGAATACATGAATGTATGACGACAAGAGAGGACAATTATGGTTATCCAGCTTAAAATTAAAGCCATGGTTGATGCGTTGCTCTATGATTCAACCTTAAAGCATTTCTCTTGAAATCATGCAGTTAAACGTGCATTGAATATTACCTGCTCCAGCATTGCAACTACACTAGGCACTAGGCTCCTCTCCTCCAAAAGAGCGAGGAGATACTTGCTCATGTTGGAGATAACACTACTACCTACAAGGGCCATGTTGAGGAGATTGATGTTGACTTGTTGCTCGCGTGGACTCCCTCTGGCAAGTCCTCCCACAAGTTCCTTAAAAGTGAGCTTTTCAAGAACAACAGGAATCGTGGTTGGCTGAAAGCGCACCAACCGAACTAAACAAGAACCTGCTGTTGCCCTGAGGTTTTCAGGTTTAGCTGATGCCCTGAATGTGTAACAAAGATTGTCGATAACTTCATTATTCGTAAAGCGTTGAGCCCACTCTCCACCTTGGCTTGCTATATTTTCTATAGTCTTCAATGCATAGTGCTGAGTGACATCATCTTCACCCTTTCGAAGTATGGAAGCCACCAGTGCAACGGTTGTACCTGGAATCTGCATGAAATTTCAGCCGCTCTCAATTAAGGGATGATGGCAATTTCAAACATCTAATACGGTATTCTCCAAGCGGGACATAGAAAGAGCACTCGTACCAGAGCCTGCTTGAAGAACTGAGGTGCACATACCGCGAGATTTGAATCATCAGCGCTTGATATTTGATAAGTAATTTCAACAATTATATGTTCACAAAGAGGTGGAAATTGTACTTAAATAAAATTAAATACCTGCCATGCTGAGGATTTAACGTCCTTAGCAGAATTGTCATGACCACCACCAGCTCTGGGAGAACCTTCATTTTGAGTTGCAATGTAAAATAAAAGCTCTCCAAGTGTTGCCATTGCACAGCGCCTTACCTGCTGACAATGTGGAAATAAGAATATGTGCGATAATCAAACATAGGAAAGTAGATCATTTCACAATCACAAATTTTGATATGTCACAAGCAAAACATGACTGAGATTGAATGAGCATGCATCCTCTTAAAGAGTATTACACAACTGCTGTGCTGGCATGACGAAATCATGTATGTAGGCACAAACCTTGTCCTGCTTGTCTCGTAAAGTGTCTGTCAAAACTGCTACGATCCCTGAACCTGCCAGCTCCTCCTCAATGAGCGTGGCATGCCGGATAAGTAGACCCATAACAGAAGTCAGTTGTACACGCAGGGCTGGAAGTTTGATGGTGCGCAACAGTTTCACCAGCAAGGGCATAACTGGACCGTTGATTAATACATTAGCTGCATCAATATTGGTACAAAGTGTCTCGAGATATTTTAATGTATTAATCTTCTCATTAACTGAACTTCCATGAATATTAGTCATGATCTTATTCAGGAAAGCATCCTGCTGCTCTGATTCCATCTTCACAAACTCAGAAGAGGTCAGTCGTTCGACAGGCAGCATTCGTGAGTCGAAGTTTGATTCCGGAACCTGTTACATAAATCACTTAATAAGAAACTGTTTCAGTCCATCCAAAGTCAACAACAAAAGCCTTGAACCCGCACAAGACATGAAATGGTAGCCAGAAGCATACAATACAGACCAAATGATCAGAGCAACGCCACGGACAGTAAAATCACAACCCGTAACAGAAAAACTGTGTTTGAAAAGCAGGTCAACTGAATTAGCAACGTCAAAGACGACTTTCACATTTCATGATATGCGTAACATAGATGGATATTACCTTCTCTATCCGCCGATTCAGCATAATTGGTCTCACAGAAAGATCTGATGGGTGCCAAAGTGACTGGGAAAGCACTACTGAAGGTCTAGCAGGATTTGGTGCAGGGGTGGGCTCCTTCTTGGGTTCCTCAGTACCACGCTGAGATGCTTTCCTAGGGATACCCACGTTTGGTGGAGTTGCTGCTACCTGACGCATTGTATCCAACTGTTTTCCTTCAATTTCGGCTGGCGTCATGAGTTGGTTCTCCGACCTACCATTAGTTTCAGATGGTGAAGGAGTAACTGGCAAATGCTCCTCAGCTCCAGTGTTAGCTTTGGTGTTCTCTACTTTAGCAGGTTGAGCGTGGGTAGTCTTGGAGGAGACTTTCTGAAGGTCTTTTTCCTCTGCTGAATCAATTGGGTTAGCAGCATTGCTACCAGAGTCATCCTCCTCTTCTGTAGTATCACTTTCAGCTCCTTCACCAAAGTTGAGCTCCAAGTCGTGGTTCTCTAAAGTAACGTCGGTATCATCAGAAGCTCCATTCGCTTTGGACTGCTGTCGATAAGTATCATTCTCAGTCTCCTTCAGCATATTAGTTTTCACTATTTTGGACAATCTCAGTAAGTTAACAACCGGTGCCCCTCCGTTGAGTTTTCTGTCTGATTCCTTTGGCTGAGCATGGCCAGCTGATCCTTTGATTAACTTCCTTCCGTTTTCTCTACCTTCCGTTTTCTCTTTGAATGGAGCAGCTCCTTTCGATTCTTGTCCAGCATGTTTATTTTCAACTTTCTTGGCTTGAATCTGGCTTCTCTCTCGCATGGTGGCCCTGTCAATCCCGGAACCCTTGGCATCTAAAGCCTTCTTTTCTACAGGAGTACTTCTACCTGACAACTGCGGAGTCTCTTCAGGAGATGAGGATCTGGAAGTAAGTCGTAAGAAGTTTTCAAAAGCAGGTTGGGGTGGTAAAGGAAGTACCTTGCACTTTGTTCTCCAAAAGCTATGATTCCTGAGTTCATCCCATTGTATTCTCTCTACTGGATCCTTAACCAGAAGACGGCTCACTAAATCCTCAAATTCGTGGCTAGGGTTTCCCCACAAAGGAGGCATAGGGTCTGAAATTATTGAGTTTACCAGTTGAGTGAAACTACTGGAAACAAACGGAGGTCGGCCAGCGTAGCATTCATACATGACACAACCTAATGCCCATAGATCAGAACCGTAGGAATGTACACTTCCTTCTTGAAAAAGTTCAGGCGCCATGTAGCAGGGAGTCCCACGCTTTGCTTGCGGTAGCTGCCAATGCAAGTCAATCTTAGTCACTCCATAAGAAATCATGCAGCAAAATCTGCTAGCTCTCTCTCTCTCTCTCTCTCTCTCTCTCTCTCTCTCTCTCTCTCTCTCTCTCTCTCTCTCTCTCTCTCTCTCTCAAAAAGGCACAAAGCTACCTCTTGTACAGAACTCTTGGCAATGTCACTAAGTCGCCTCGCCAGTCCGAAGTCGCAAAGCTGCAGTCAAAACGATCAAAGATTATTCACAGTTAAGGATTCGACGTGTTTAAGTCCAGTTCCAATCAAAATAAGAGTACCAAAGAACTACAGCACATGCATTTATTTAAATTCATTTGAATCTTAGAAATAAATAAGCTTGTACAACAACAATTCGACTATGCTAAAAGATTCCTCTGATGCCCACAAGATATAAAGAAAAGGACTTCAGGGTTAAGATGAACGGATCCTTCAGAAAGAGAAGTCTAAGCACACTAACCTTGAGGCGGCCATTTTCATCCAGAAGCACATTTGATGGTTTCAAGTCACAGTAAATCACTCCTTTGGAGTGTAAGAACCTGCAGTAAAAGAGGATTCACAGTCAGGCACCAGATTGAAATATTTATATTACGAAACAGTAGAGAAAAAACACGTCAATGCTTCATTGTAAGAACCATAAAGATAGAAGCGTAATTCAAGTGTGACATATTTTGAGTACATACTGTAGAGCTTGGACTAAATCACGAGCAAAATCATGAATAGATTCCTCAGGCAACCGTGTATCCTGCGAAACGGTGAAGTCAATGACATTTTTAAAAGATGTCCTTACAACCACATCACCGTTTACTTCTACGCACCCACTAGAATGCCTTACCACCAACAAAATAAGATACAATTCACACACATGTACGTTTGGAACAAATGTGAAAGAACAATAAGTGCTTGAAACGGGTTCCAACTGAGAGGGGAATGGAAATAAAATAAATTTTATTTTTTAAAATTAAAACTTTCTAGAATTAAAGCGGCAAATAAACTAGATCAATCTGATGTATAGATCGAGTGGTAATCGCTAAAAACAGGAAAAATATATCATACAGTGGACATTCCTTCATAGAGTCCCAAGGAGAGCGCTTCTAATTGATACTTAGCATCAACAAAAATAAGGAGTTGTGAATTGGAGTAACCCACCTGCCTAAGTAACGTCAAGAGATCGCCTCCGACACAATACTCTAAAACAAGCCATAGATGCGCTGACGTTTCATACCTATCAGTTGTTAACTATGTCAGTATAACATGAGATATGGGCAGATGCACATGGGATCGAGAAACTCCAGTTTGCGACAACACACATACACTAATCACACTCACTCACAGTGCTATACATCGACAACTGAAGAATGGATTTACCATGCGTAAAACTTGAGCACGTTGTTGTGGTCAAGTGAGTGGAGGGTTCGGACCTGCTCAAAAACAAAAGTAGCTGTAAGTGAACGTCACACAACTGAACTGAAAATCAACTCGCACCTTAAGGATGTTAAAGTGCAAGCCTGTCACAGGATGACAGCATTAAATTAGTCCAAATCCAACCCACCTCCTGCAGAACCTTGGTTTTTTGACTCTTCTCCACACTTTTGATAGCATAATACTCGATTGTCTTTTTCTTCCTCCCTTTGTAAACAGTCTGCAAGGATACAACCATCGTTGTGTTGATAATCATAGGCAACTAATTTTCAAACGCAAGCAGTTACACTCCAGTAAAACAATCATGTAACAATCTCCAAACTGCTCAGGAAGACATTGGAACTTCAGCGCAGCATCAGATATAAACGTATCTGAAATAAATGTATATAATCTCAACAAGGATGAGCGTTGAATAGTTCAGATCAACGACAAAAGAAGTCTCATGCTTGACCACAGACTGCAATTCCTAGAGGCTAAATAGCGAGTATTTTCTATGCAGAGCTATGGTCACTATATCGTATTGCAACTGTAACAATCTTTTAGTACGCAGTCCAAGTCAACGTGTACATAAAAATACTTAATGCAAAGTGCTCATGATACACCAAGCTCAAGTCGTAATGACATGTTAGCTGCTACTTGGGAGTAGGCTATCTCTTTTCTCGCGTGCGTTAATGATCCAATGTGGTACTAACCCCTACGAGACACAATGGCATTCTCAGAGACCGTGTGACGGTGATATTGGCTGTTACATTTCAAGCATAACATACATTAGGAATAAAAATTTCTGTTGACCAACCACTTATTCAAAGACTACAAGATCATAAACACAAGTGAGAAACCTTAGAAATGTCGTAGACAACTTCTAATCTTCACTATCGATGCAAACACATAGGGAACACTCAGAAGCAGACATTTAAGCACCATGTCCGCTTAATCGAGTAGAAGATAATGTACACATTTGCACGGTCCCTGTAAAAAGCATGAGCTAAACTACTCACAGGAAATCTGAACTTACCGAGTGTTTTCCTCGTCCGATCGCCTCATAGATGTGATATTGATTCATAAGAGATGCGCCGAAGGCTCAAAAAAGCCCTCGCTCTAGCTTGGAGCCACTTCTTCAAGCACAACAGAGAGTAAAGCACGTCCTTGCAGTCTGCATAGAAGGAGGACCGAAAATATCTGCGAATTCGCACTTTGCTGTCTAGGTTTAAAAAACCTGGAAGGTTGCTGATCCCCAGTCTTCACAAAATACGAATGCCTAAGATTATTTCCCAAAACAACGAGATGCAAGTTCCAACAGGTTTCATATATTCCTGGCTTATTCCCTCTTCACATTGCAAAGGCTCGACCACTTCAAAATGTCGGACTTAATCCAAAATGGCTAATGCGAAACATGTGATGAATTGTGCCGCAAAAGGATTAGGAAAATGTAACCAAAACATAAGTACTTGGTTCAAATAGAATTTTTCGTAACCAAGTCCTCATGCGAAGACCGTGCCCCTTGAAACTCCACACGAAAATTTTTGCGCTTACTAATAATACACTTCTTGAGTGTCCCTAAAACTAACACAGGAAAATGGAAGAACAGTTATGCAGCTAAGAGAGGCGACAATGTAGCTCAGATTTGTCTTCAACTAACTGCGTAAAGAAGTAGGCCCCAGCCACTCTTCAATGTCCACTTCACCGAGATTCCAAAAACATAAAGAAGAAGGATCAGCACTCGAAATTATTCACAAGATACTAACACCTTGAGAAACGCTGTCTCCGAGACATCAACCAAATGTCGAATGATTATGCTTTCGAGAGTACAAGTTACGAAATCTCACGCTCAAAACCATGCGAGGCGAAGCGTTCGTTAGAAAAAGAAAAAAATGGAATCAACACGCCTAAGCTGCAAATCTACAACCCAAAACCTTCGGACACGAAGATTGTACCCAAAGTAAAGCTCCAAACTCCAAACCAATCTCGAAAACAATGTTCACAAAAACGCCGCCAGGTCCAATGTAAGTGTAAAAACCGCCACGATTGTCTTCTAGTACAATGCCGATTACTTCCCACACCTCGAGAACAATCCGTGCCCGCTTCCGAACATACGTACAAACTTACAAATCCCAACCAGCTGCTCGAGAAGAAGAGTGCGGCCTGCAGTAGGTCTGTACTCTTAGCTCATTCACACGTTCCAGAAAAACCGCGGACGGGAGACTTCAAACAGGGGTGGGAATTCAGTGGAAGGGATGAAGGGGGTGTAGGGTTTGGCTATGGCGGAATGCACATTCAAACTTCGAACAACAAGGACCGACGTTTCAGAAAACGATCAACGGAGATACTGACAATGCATTCGGAAAAAGAAGAAGAAGCGGGAGACCGATCTCATTGATCTTGGATGATGCAGACTTTTGCACGTCGACTACATTCATCCATCGTTGCAAAGATTGGAAGATGGGTGGCAGTTTCATTGTACATGGCGATATATGTATAAAAGGAGAAACAATCTGATTCCCTACACATACGGAATAACATACTCGTAATTTGGCTTCAGAACGCCCTCGTTCTAGAATGCTAATTGGGATGCTTTCTAGCATATAGATAAGGATGTAATTCCTGAAAATATCAATATTATATACTTATTTATTTATTTATGTATATTTATATTATTTTGGAACAGGAAAAAAAACATTAACTTAAAAAATTATCACAATTTAATTTTTTGTTGAAAGAAAAGGTAATATAAGTATGCATTGAGAACCTTAAAAACTCAAAAATTAGAAACTAATTAAGTTGAAGTTAATAACTATTTTTTTCATCAAGAAAATCAAACTAAAGAAAAATCATTTCAAATGTACCTTGAATCTGCTATCAAAAAAGCTTAAATCTATGCATTTAGATGTATGCTTTCATATATCAAAAGGACTAATTAAACCAAAGAATAAAAATAATTAATTAATTAAAAAATTAAACATAGGATCTTTTAATGCTTACATTAATACACTTTTTTAAAAAATATTATATATATATATATATATATATATATATATATATATATATAAGATAAATTTCATTCTATTGTAATTTAATTCCATAGGACCTTTGTTAATAATTAACACATAGATTTCTTCTTGGTACTAGTCAATCTGAAGTCTTTTGTATTTAATTTTCTATCCAAACAAATTGAATCCATAAAAACACCTCTTTCGCACATTAACAAAGTGTTTGAGTTTTATAACATATCTACAAGATTTCTATATACTCTTTATAAAAATAAAATTTCTTGTCTTTTAATTCATTCTTATTCTCAATATTCAATTTCAACAATGTAGCATCACTATCTAAACTAAATTCTTCTTAATATTATTACTATTATTTTAATTTTATATTATTTAAGTTCATATGAAACTTCAAAAATTTAACTTCTTTTTAATTTGTATCTATAGTATTGAAATCTATGATTTAGCATTCATTACTATTATACACAATTATGTGTTTAAACAAACAAAAGTCATATTCTTATGTATTACATCATTTTTATATAACTTTTTTATTTTATAAACTTTAAATAAATAAATATTTTTTTAAAAAAAGATATAATCTATTATTTAAGCTCCAAATAACATAAAATCTAAATTAAAAAATCTAAGTGATGAGTCATATAATTTTTTTTAAAAGATTATCAATTTATTAAATTTTCCCCTTTCAAATGAAAATATATTAAACCACACTAGTTACTTTATACTTAATTTGGTTTTAAAGCAATCTTACAATAAGACCTACATGGTTGTTAATATCGATCCTAATTAAATATCTATTTCTTTGACCAAGTTAAAATAACTTGATTCAATTGGGCTAGACAAGACATCAAAGAATCAAATGAGTTTTCTTATTAGTATTGATTATTTTGGACAATACAAGAACAACATCTACATCCTAGATTTTGGTAATATCTTATGTTGTAATCAACTTTAAATGTTGAACTAAAAATTGAGTTATTTCTTGTAAAAATTAACACATACTCTTATTTGGTGTAATTTTGCCTTATAAAATTTTATGTTTTAAAGAAAAACTTTAATAAAAATAATATTAGTAAAAATATAGCATTAATTTAATCATTATAATAAATTAAAGTATAATATATACATTAATATACATAATATTATATTCAAGTTTTCATGTAAATAAATATACAATGTTATGTTTAAAATTTCTTTATCACTTTCTTTGCATCTACATTTTATTTATTTTAGGACTTTATCAATTTGACTATCTTATATTCATCTATTTAATTACATAAATTCTTATTTTAAACTCATAAAAATATATTAAGTTATAATTTTTTATATCATTAATAATAAAGATAAATATTCATAATCTAATTTAAAAAATAGATTTATAGTCTCAATATATATATATATATATATATATATATATATATATATATATCACTCTAATGTTATTCTATCTTTAAACAAATCTTGAAATAATAATTTTTTGATATTTGATTAAATATATCTTTATCAAGATAATCAGAATAATTTTAATTTTAATTTTTTATATTTCATCTTAACTTTATTTAGAATATTTTATATAATTTTAAAGGTTTTCAACAAAGTATTTATATATAATATTTTTAATTTTAAAATCTAAAATATATAATATAATTATTGCTCATGTATTATTAATTATTTATTATTAAAGGCCTCCTTCTTCTAACTTGCAAAATAGTACATTCTTTAACTTTTTTAGATCTAAAAAGTACAAACTATCTAATCTTATAATTTTTATTTCTATTTTGAAAAAAAACTTTAAATTTTTTTAAAGTTTTTTAAAGTTTGAACTTTAAAATTTGAATATAAAATTTTAAATTTTAATTTTAAATAGTATTTTTTAAATTTAGAATATGTAATACATATGAAAAGGAGTGATGTTAAAAAAAATCTAATATTTATTATCAAATCTAACTATTCATCTATTAAAGTTGTATAGTTTTTATCAACAATATCTTCATAACACAAAAATAATGCATCGATACAAATTTCAAGCTTCTGTCATGCAATTATGTATATAAAATAAAATCAACAGATTAAAAAAATATTATTTCTACAAAAATGTGCATTTCATCCGCAATTATGTATATAAAATAAAATTCATGGTCTTTAATTATTTTTATAAGTCAAAGGCCTTTGATACTACCTTTTTATTTTTAATTTGTAATACAGATGGATCTTTACAAAATCCAAATTCTTTAAATATAAACCTAACTTATAATAGTTATAGAATTAAATACTACACTTGCTGGAAAAATTACTATTATCTGAAAACCTTGCAATCAAATGGAACTGTTTGAATGTTAAATATAATCTTCGTACAAGCATCTTTAGCATAAGGATCTTTATGAAATCTTTAAGTAAATAAATAAATATTTTTAATTAAATAACTATATAATGTAGTTGAATTTTTTTTTACACATACTTAATTTTGTGTACTTATAGAATAATAGATTTTAAAAGTTTTCTTTAGAATTTGTTGTTGAATGTTAAAGTGATGATAAGGATATTTAATGAACTATATATATATTTTTATTTTCCAAGAATTTTTAAGAATCTTCTAAAAATTATTGTCTATTTTAAAAATATTATACAATTTGAAAGGCTATTGAAAAATATTTTATATTGGTCTAAAACCTTATACAATATTCTATAATCTTCTAGAAGTTTCTAAAACCTCTGTATGTATTTATAAATTTTCTTAGTATACTCAAATCTTATTTATAAAAGTTTGTTAGACTTCAAAATAATCTATATTTCTCAAGATATGTTATGAAACTTTTAGAATACCTAATAGCTATAGAATATATATATTAAAATATAGAAAATAATATTTTAATATTACCAACATATGTTTTAGGTTATTCCAAGTATTCCACTCTTTCTAATCTTATATCTTCTCTTATTATTAATTCAATACTTTTGACTATTCTCTAAATTTTTTTACATATAAATTTATAATTAAAAAAACATAACAAAGATTCTTAGTTATAATAAAAATATTACTATTAAAATTATATATATATATATATATATATTTGTAACTAATCTAAAACTTATAATATAACTATGATTTACACCCTCTTTTCATATACCTAGGAATATTAAACATTGTAATTTCTATATATTTTAATAAATATTTTTTAGTTGCTAAAATCTCAATATGTTGTGTAAATTAAAATCACTCTTTTATCATATGACTCAACTCTTGCAAAGTAAACTTGATTTTATTATGTTGACTTTGATTATGACCAACAAATGCATTTAATATTAGTGTTCAATAACATTGAACACTTAATGTTGAATATGTTTTTCAACATTATTCAATGTCCTTTAAATTCAATCACTTATTTTATTTTTTACTCTAATTTACATGATAATAATAATAATTAAAATTAAAATTTTAATTATTAATTATATTAAATGATGATTATACGGATGAAAAAAAGTATATTTTTTATTTCTATAAGTTGACACCTATATCTAAAGTGTGTAAATATAAAAGTAAAATTTTACAACTTATAAAAATCTAATTTTTTTAAATATTAAAGTACTGAAATATAATTTTATGAATAAACATAAACAAAAATTGCACTAAAACAAAAAAAACACAAATATTACTAGAGAAGGTGATCACTAGTCAAAATTCAAGAAAACTCTTATCAATTCAATCTTTGTGCTGCCTACTTAATCAATAAACATTACTTCATTTGGAAATGATCTAAAAGTTTATAGAAAAATATTTTTAGACAAACACATTTATAAAAGTAATTTTTAAGGACGATAAATTATTCTTTTGATTTAATTTCATTTTGTAAAACACTAAAAGATTATTCTCGTTGTATTAACATCCATAAAGAAACACTTACAAGTTTCCCGACAAGGATTTATTCTGCCAACCTCTCCATACCATCCTGCCGACTTCTAATAATTTACACTTGTTTTAGCAAATCCAAAGTGTTCATTTCCACAATATTGTTCAGAAAGTACAGTATATTGGACTTCTCCCAAGTCCAGATGAGGCACTGCACTTGTCAAATATTCATTGTTGTAGGGGCCTTCTTCAGCTTGTCGGCATCTACCAGATCTACCATAAGAAATACATTTATGAATGAATGAACTGAGTGTGTAGGGTCGAATCACATCAGAAATTGCCATCTGGTTTCTAATTCTGGGCTGTGCAAGCGCTGGATCTCGAACAAACATGGACAAAGTCATGTGAATTCTTCGCAGGATTACCATTTCTTATCACCACAGAATCTGATGAAGAATCATATGGACCTTTCACAGGAGCTAATGATCTCTATTGTTGTGGGCATTACACGCAGGTGGGATGGTCCACGACTACGAGCATCGGGTGTGCTAAGGTCGTGTGCGAATAAGGCCCGTATAACATGATGCGGAACTGAACAATAGGAATTACGTAGATGCGGGACTGGATTATCCGTTGCATCAGTAGGAACGGCCAGCAGTATGAAAAAGACCATTTCCATGATAATAACCAAGTATAGTGTTACAAGTTGCGACAAGATCTAGAATATGGAGATGCATGAGGCTTGTAGGTCACCAGTGCATCTTGTTGAAAACCCTCACAAATTGACTCTGGAGTAGATGGGGTCCAGTGTCAACAGCTGCATAGAACATCGTTTCCATTGCCACAATGTGTGGAAGTTGCAGGTGGTCATGTTAGTGGATATTAATTGGTAACTTCACCCAGTCTGCATCTTGTTGAACAATCATAGTCTAGCGTAGTTTAGTACAATACATGATCTATTGTCTGAGAGTTGCTTACTTGTTGAAAGTGGGTTTTATATGTTGTATACAAGGTCCAACGAACTATTCAATAAATAAGTACCTGATGTTACGGAAGACTCGTTTGTGATGTCATTGGACCGAGTTAGCATTCACTGTCATTGTTTAAACTCGTGACAATTTAGCTGCTGAGGTCAACAACGGTGCACATTGGGCAATGAAAACTTCTGTGAAGAGATTTAAACGATGACGAGAGGTGGTCAAGAGTACATTGTTCAGATCTCACCAAGCATATTTGCACCTGTTTATCCTAGATTGATCAAGCAACACAAGTAGTATGAAAGATGGAAGACATTTTTGGAAACGTTTGACGACTAGTAAGAAGGAGTAAGCTGCAAGAAGCTATGATTAAGTCTGAAAATTATATTGCATTTCATTTTATTGGTTATTGAATGAGTTTATTAATATTATTTTTTTGATGACGTATGAACTGAAATGCGTGGATGAATATTAGATACTGATACTTCTTTACATTTGACTTTTTTTTTTTTTTTTTTTTTTTTTTTAAATAAATTATATCAACTTGTTTAAACTGTTCATGGTATTATTAATAGAAAAATAAATTATATCAACTTGTTTTAACTGTTCATTCACTGTTCATTGTATAATCGATTCGAATAAATCGTTTTCTTTCATCGAAAAAAATCTAATTTCTAAAAAATGTATGAAGGATACAATAGTTCATTGATAAAAACAGAATTTGTATACATGATTATTCTGAAGTTTTAGATTTTTTATTATGGTATATTACTTATACTAATGAAAATAGTGTACTAGAAATAAAAATCATTATTGTCTACGTAGCTAAAAAAATGCAACAAAAACTTCAATATTACATGATTGTTCTTAATATCATGAAAGACTGATGTAGAATTTAAATGGTATATTTTTTAAACAACAATATTATAAGCTATAATTTTATATTTAACTCTATGATAGAAAATATAATTCAAAAATAAAAATAAAAATATTTTTTATAATAATTTTTGAAATTTATTAATAAATATGTATATTAAGAATATTACATCAATGTATAATTGTAAGTAAGAAGAAAAAGTCATTATTTAAAAAATGCAATCAATATTATTTTTTATTTTCATTTAAAAATTAAATTTGAACATATAGGGATACTTTGCTTGATTTATAATTATGGTAGATAGATTTTTTATACATTATGCAAGGTTTTGTAATTTAAGTGGAATCATGTAATTTCATATTTTCCAAGTTATAGACAAGTAGTATAGAAATGATGCTTTTTGTAATAATGTGCATTGGCTTTGCTAAGGTTGCTAGTTTAGAATTTAAATAGATAAGTATTATAGAAATGATGCTTTTTGTAATAATATGCATTGGTATTGCTAAGATTGCTAGTTTAGAATTTAAGTAAATAAGTGAAGATTTTTATTGAAATTTTGTTGTAATTCAAATGTACTAGCATTGGCTTCAATTGTGACATTGGATTGCTTACTCATCAGCATGTTAGTATTAGTAAAAGACACAAGCACAAATATAAAAGCCTATTTTAGTTATAATTTGGAACAAAATTCTTACAGATTAAAATATATTTTTGTTTGTTTGTAACGTCTATGAAAAATATTGAGAGACCTCAAGTTTAAAATGGTGCTACTTTTTGTGAGAAGACAAATGATATTACTATTTTATTTATTTTTCAATTCACAAAACATGTTTTTGGACCCATTTCTTAAAATATGATAATATCAAGAAGAAATCTTAGAAACTTTAAGGAAAACATCCGCACTTTGGAAGTAATGGTGATAGACAACAATCTTGCAAGAATCAATATCCTTGAGAATTAGATTCACTATGGACATTGTTGGAAATTACAATCTGGCTTTGCAAAGAGTACAAGTTTGACAATAATAATTACAAAATGGTATATTGAACAAGATTGAAAAGTCAAAATTTCTTACCAAGCTATGATAGTATTTGTAAAATGTACAATTATAACACCTTTAGTCTTAGTATTGATTTCCACTCTGATATCAATGTGATTGTTGTTAACAATCATGGTATCCATGGCAATCTCTATCTCATGTACAACTCTATTAGTTGTAGGTGTTATCATGGCTCAAAGATTGTTAATCTACGTTAAAATCTAAACCCTAAATGCACAAAGAAATTATCTTTTTTCTTATCAAATCCATATTAATTTATTTTAAATTATAAAATGTACCAACAAATAATCTATATTCTTGTCAAACCTACATTCATCTATTTGTTGCACAAAAAATCAAGACTCAAATCATCAAATTCTTCACTTAATTCCTCATTTAACATGTATGTATGTATGTATCTATGTATCTATCTATATATGTATGTATATATGTAAATAATTTCTAAAAAATTAAAAAAATTACCACCTAAGAAAAAAAATATTTATTAAGAGGTTTAAATTATACAAAATAATTCTAGCCTCTTTTAAGTACTTTTGTCTTATGTATTTAAAAATGAATGTTTATCAATTTATAATTATGATGTTTTCGTAAAGTAAATCATTGACATCAATTTTTTTTAAAATTTTAACCGGTGTCTTCTTTAATTCATCATTGATTTATTTTTTTATTTTTTTACATAAATTGCTCATGCACATGTGGTAGAAGAATAGCCATGAATGGTGGCCCATTCCCATGTCTACAACCAGATGAAACGGACCAACGAATCGGATGAATGACTAAACTTATAAACCAACGAACGAACAGTATTCGTCTGCGGTGTGCTTGCTCTTGCGTGGCGGCTTGCGGGCTTGGAGTTGCTTCCTACGGTGTGGCCATCGGGCATTTGGAGGTTTCGCGTGCAAAATTTGCGAAGAAAGTTGCTCTGATTCGCTAACTTCCGCTGTGTTTTTCATTGACCATCGTAGTGCATCTGTTAAAGTGAGTTGTTCTTTATCATTCTTTTCTTCTTTGTGTTTCGGTTGAGAGTGAAAGGTGATTCAGGAAGAGTTTTGCAACCAGGAGGTGCTCGGTTTTCGGTGTAGTTCGGTTTTGTTACTCGAGGGAATTCCCTTGCCGTTGTGAGATTTATTCAGCCTGCGCTGCTCGGCTGAGCTCTTTGCTTTCTGCACATTATTTTTTTCCAGGTTAGCATTCTAGTTTTGTAGGTTTGAAGATTTTGGTCCTGTATTTGTTAGATTTGTTTTTGGCGAGGTTGGTTGGATAGGTCTCGTGAGTTGCAATCGGTTCTTGATTCTGGAATGGTTTGAATTCTGGTGTTCGGGGATGGAATTTAGGATTTTGGTTATGTCATTGTGATTGGCGCAGGCTTGACTCGATTGTGCTATTAGCACTTGAAAGTGCGGAATCAATTCCTTCTAGCCATTTTTGAATTTAAAGCTCTTCTAATTGTGCTTTGCAGTCGTTTGAACCTCTTTTGACTCTCTCAAATTTGTAGACATGTGACACACCTTTCTCAATCGGAAGCTTTTGTCCTTTATCAAGACCGGTTATAAAATACTCTCGTTGGAATTTGTTAACTTCGTCATTTCTGTCTATAGTAGAAGCGACTCGGTTATGATTTGCGAGCCTCTCACTCGTTGCGGCAATTTCTCCAGCTTTTATGGCGGTACTGTGTATCATAAGTCTGAGACATTCTTTTAGTTAATCTTTGAAATCTACTCTTCAGCTTCTAATCTTTGGATGCTTTGTCACAATGCATGTCATGTAGCATGTGTTGTTTCTGTGGTTTGTATACTGAATTGTCTGTAGCTCGTTGCCGTTCTGGTCCTTGTAATTTTGCAAGCACATTCATCTAGATTTTTGGTTGACGGGCAACTTCAAGTCGAACTTTGGTTTGCTGTCAGTTGCGAAATTGCGAGGTAGCGACGTCAATTCTAGCATCTTTAAGTACTTGCGGTTCACTGGAATAGGTTCGAGGGGGGGTTGATTTATGTGTCTCGTATTTTATTGGTTACTCTTCTTTCTTGTGGGATTTTAAAATCCTCATGAATGACATATGGTGCTTCTTAAGCAGAAGAGGAGTTGCAAGAAAGGAGGCTTAATGACCACTGCTGCCTCTTCTTCCACTAAACTTCGGAATGCTTTCTCCTATTGCGTCCGACAAGTCAGGTGTGCTTCACCGTATTATTATTATTATTATGATTATTAATGTTGTTGTTGTTGCCGTTGTCGTTGTTATGTATGTATATGTGAGGGTATGTATGTAAATGAGATTTTAGCCTTTGGCAATCTGCAATAACAGTTGAGCCGATCGATCTCTATGGGAGGCACCCCATTCCTCCTATTATGTGTCCAGAAGAGTCTTTCTGGAGTTAATGTAACTCTTCAACTACTGTTGATGGAACAGGACGAACGACTATGAAAACTTCTTGTGTATCTTGCATCTGCCACCGGGCCCTCGTGCGGCAGCCTTCGCTCTTCGAGCTTTCAACATTGAGACAGCTCAGGTTTGAGACCATCTTAAGATTCTCATTTTCTGTAACTGTTGTATCTTGAAAGTCTCAAATTGTTTGAAATTTCTCGCGGAGATCCAGCCTTTGAAGCGGACGAAGATCGCCGTTGGGATGCAAAATTTTGGCAGTCTAGAAGTTGTTACACTGCTGTGGATGATAATCGTATTATTTTCTTACGTTCATGGTTTGACGGAGAAGTATTAATTTTTGGCACCTCTGGCTAATTTGATTAGCGAGGGTATTGCCGCGGATTCCTTTGATTCTGAGGATTGAATACATAACCGAAATTCAAGTTCTGATTCATCCAGATTAGGGCCCATTTAAAATATTGGCTTCTCTTTGTTATTTAGTTCGGTGTAACGAGAATCAAAGTTGTTCTTACTCAGGCTGGTGATATGAAAGAGACAAATCTAGCAATGATGCGCTTGGTGTGGTGGCGTGATGCCGTAGATGGAATATACAAGGTGAGGGTTTTTGTGTTGCAGATTCTTTTTGCCTCGCAATTTCTTGAGTATCTTCCATTTTCTTTTCACAGTAATAATCTTGAGAAGGAACTTCTAGACTCTGGCAGCTTGAGATGAATGTTGAGGCTGTAAAATTACTTGTGCTTTTCCAAGAAGTGTAAGCATCTAGCTGAAAACACTGTTAATTGTCAACCTTCAAGTGTGGCTAGAGATTGCAATATGATATGCAATCTTTAGCCATTATGGATTGCGACCCTCATTAGTCTTTTAGAAATGACCACTCATGTCTTGGTAGTATTTTACAGAAAAAGACATTGGAACATCCGGTTATCCAAGCACTTGGAGCTGTTATAAGTGAGAATCGCTTGAGCAAACACTGGTTTACGCGTCTACTTGAAGCTCGGGTACGTTTGATCAAGACGGAAATTGTGCATTCGTTATCATATTTTTGAATCACTAAAGCTGATGTCCTTCGTTCACTGAATACACTTCAGCATGGTTGTGCTTACCTCGTCTTTCCTTATGCCCTCGATTCTCTTGCTGCTCGTGCTGTCATCTTCTTAGGAACTCTAATGTTAATTAACTTTTGGAGATTCTATTGTGTCGCTCTTGATTACTGTTTGATTTTGCTTGTTGATGTGTAATATTCTGCTATTGACATTACGTGTTCTTGCTTGGTCGTCTTGAAGATGACGGATTTAGATTCCATGTCACCGTTGAACGTAGCGGAAGTTGAACGGTAGGTCTTTTGTCCACCTTCTTTTGTATCGTTTAAAATAACATTGTCTAGCTGTTCTCTTCTGATCCATCCCAAGTCTGCGCTCTTTCCAAATATGAGATGGCGGGCTGTCAAGAACTGAACATTTGTAAGAATTTCTCACGAGAAACTGGTCTGGTCAAGGTATGCTGAAGATACTGCTTCATCTCTTTTATACCTGACACTGGAAGCGTCCGGTATACGGAATACATCGGCTGATCACGCGGCTTCTCACATTGGTAATTTTATATAACTTGTCGCTATAGTGTTACTCTTTCATGCCGAGATGTTCAACAGACTGTCCATGTTATTCGTACCTGACATGTTCTCAAGACTGTCCATGTTATTCGTATCTGACATGTTCTGAACTGTCACAGTTGTTTGTGAGAACACCTTTGAATGCAGGGTAGTAACATAATTTGAAGAAGCTTGAATTTGACTACAGGTTTCGTCTCGGGATGCAGGCAAGACAGCAGGAATGGGGCTTTTGCTACGTGCTTCTCCTTATCATGGTGCTCGCCGCCGATCTTACATACCACTTGAGACAGCTGCTAAGGTGAAAACATCTGAAAGCAAAACAATTGAATGGTTTACATGCGTAGAAGGGTTATCTCGTCAATTTCCTCCTTTTATAAGATTGGTTGCATTGGAAACTTTTCAGTTTTGAAGAAATTCGGAAATTTTATCCCTGTTGCATGCTCTTCATCCTAACTTGTGGTCATATGACAGCATGGATTGGCTCAGGAAGAGTTGTATCGTGGGCAGAACGCTGAAGCTCTAGCAAACGCAGTCCACGAGGTGATATTTTCAGACTATGTGTCCTATATATGCCCGTTCACATCCTAATGCTTTTGCAATTGTGATTTTAAAACTTGAAAAGTCCAGGTGATCAAGTTCTCTTTTGGTTGGTTACTATTGTAGTGGTTAAAGTGGTGGTTCTGATGAGCATGCAGGTTGCCTCTGTTGCGAATTCACATTTGGAGAAAGCACGTTCACTTGCTCCGTTGGTCCCTGCCCCTGCGTTACCCGTACTTCTACCTGCGGTAATTCTTATTGTATGCTTAATTGTATTATGGTGATGTGAAGCTTGTTACTGTAAGATGGGGTGCTAAAGTTAGCACGGCCACCAACTTGGCATGTCTTTGATTGCGTTTTGAAAAATCTTACTATACACGGTTGATGGATTAGCTTGCTGATTGTGATAATTAATTATGAGGTGCTTTTGATTATCGTCGGTTTGATTCGTTGCTTAAAAGTAATTTCAGTTACAGAGCTGGAATGTGGGCCATAATGTTCCGAAAAGTTACGAGTGAAAACGGAATTACTACATCGCACGTTTTTTACGCACCTGTGCTGTCTTGCAGGTGCCAGCAGGAGTGTTGCTACAGACTCTAGAACGCATCAACTTCAACGTATTTGACCCCAAATTAGTGCGTGGCGTTTGTGGCATATCTCCTTTGTGGATGCATTTGAAGCTTAAGTGGCACGCTTACAAAGGAACTTACTAGCTTCTTTAGTCAATGTGGTCTTTCGTTTATTTGGTGAGCACATCGTCAATATTGATGGTTCCACTCATGTTCGATAATTTCTTTTCCACCGCCAGAGGCTGCAAGTTTCCAACTGGAGTTTTGCACGGTTGACATGTTACTCTTCAACATCAATACACACGTCGCATGCATCAACTGGCTTTTTTTTGGTCTAGCAGTAGATAAAGGATAAAATTTGTTTACGCCAGAAGAGGTCAAATCTGAGCTGTGTCCGTAGATCTTGACCACATCTTCCTCTTCCATACTTGGCGATTTGGATAACCCAGTTTGGACAATCCGTTCCGGATCCTAATTTCCTCCATCTGTGAATGCCTACAACTTGAATCCCATGCGCTGTAACGACTCCCAGTGAAAGTTGTTACTTGTTCAAGGGGTTCAAGGTGAAATTGTTTCTGATTTTGGAAGTCTTTTTCTCGAACCATGGATGATTGTTGAATTGCTTATTTTCTCCAGTGATGAGACTTTCACATCACTGTAGGTTGCAATTTAAATTTTGTGGTGCAATAGCAAACTTATATGAGGTTCTTGAACTAGATTATTCTAAAACCAATCCCATTGACCATGTAACAAGCTCCTGGATTGGCTTACAGTTTTTGCAAGCAAAAGACACTACTTACAATAATCTTTGTTTTAAATGGTGAAGGTAGCTTAAAAATAACTAGAAAGGCAATTGAGTTCAAAAAAATTAGTGCTTCCTTTGCATGCATTTTTATGGGAACTTTTTTATTGTTTTAGTGGAAGTAATCATTAATATTATCAACACACTTATGACATTATATCCTCCAATCTTCAATTTCTCTCTCTCTATATATATACCAACATTGTTATCACCTCCAATCTTCAATTTTTCTCTCTCTATATATACCAACATTGTTATCACTTCCAATCTTCAATTTCTCTCTCTCCATATATATACCAACATTGTTATCACCTCCAATCTTCAATTTCTCTCTCTCTCTCTCTATATATATATACCAACATTGTTATCACTTCCAATCTTCAATTTCTCTCTCTCTCTATATATATACCAACATTGTTATCACCTCCAATCTTCAATTTTTTTCTCTATATATATACCAACATTGTTATCACCTCTAATCTTCAATTTTTTTTTCTCTCTCTATATATACCAACATTGTTATCACTTCCAATCTTCAATTTCTCTCTCTCTCTCTATATATATACCAACATTGTTATCACTTCCAATCTTCAATTTCTCTTTCTATATATATATATATACCAACATTGTTATCACATCCAATCTTCAATTTCTCATTCTATATATATATATACCAACATTGTTATCACATCCAATCTTCAATTTCTCTCTCTCTATATATATATACCAACATTGTTATCACCTCCAATCTTCAATTTCTCTCTCTCTCTATATATATACCAACATTGTTATCACCTCCAATCTTCAATTTTTTTCTCTCTCTCTATATATATACCAATATTGTTATCACCTCCAATCTTCAATTTCTCTCTCTCTATATATATATACCAACATTGTTATCACCTCCAATCTTCAATTTTTCTCTCTCTCTATATATATATACCAACATTGTTATCACTTCCAATTTTCAATTTCTCTCTCTCTCTCTCTCTCTCTCTCTCTCTCTCTATATATATATATATATATATATACCAACATTGTTATCACTTCCAATCTTCAATTTTTTTTTCTCTCTCTCTCTCTATATATACCAACATTGTTATCACCTCCAATCTTAAATTTCTCTCTCTCTCTCTCTCTCTCTCTCTCTCTCTTTCTCTCTCTCTATATATATATACATATATATATATATATATATATACATATATATATATATATATATATATATATATATACCAATATTGTTATCAAATAAAAGAGATTGTATTTACAAAACATGCCCTACTATCATAAATAATTTGTTTAAAACAAAAAAAGTTATTGTCAAAAAAAAAAGAATTGTTTTTTCTATTGACAAAGTAGACAGCTTTAATATAAGGTCAATTGTACACAAAACAAGTATAAAATATTCCAAAAGAATCATTGATTAATTTTGGTTATACTTGTTATTATAAAATTTATAAATTGAGTTATTCTAATAATTCAATACTTTAATTATAAAAATATATACTTGTTTCATACACATTAAGTTCAATTTGTGAGTTAGTGTCACAAGTTAAGGTTTAAATAAAAAATAAAAAAATTATTAAGCTTATTATGGCATTAGAGGAAAATAAACATCTTTTAGTACAATGGTTGATTATTCTATTTAGAAACTTTTGATTCTATTTACAAAAAGTAAGAGTTATAATTAATCAATGTAGAGATTATTTTTTAAAAAGATATTTTGGACTTAAATTATAATGCCTCCAAAAAGAATGATAGCTAAAGATTTGGCTATGTATTTGTTAAATGTATTAGAATTTATAATTTTAGATATAAAATTTAGAATTTATAAAAATACATGCATAATTTTCTAATTTTAGAAGCCAACATGTAGTTGGTTGATTTAGTTTAGAAACTGAAAATGTAAGAAATAGGGTTTAATTTGGCAGGATTAAGTGCTTAGCATCCTAACTTAAATAAATATACTAAAAAGTTGGAACTTAGATTTTTTTTTAAAAATCTAGTTTCATTTAAAACAATTAAATTAACTAATGAAAGTATAGTATTGGTAGTGTAAAGAAAGAAAATGATAGTAATGATGAAAATTGTGTAGGCAATGCTAAGAAGATTTAGAGTTAGAAGGTGACAATGAAGATAGAGTTGAATAAAAACATGCCAAATCAGAGGGTGCCAAAAAGTTGGTGGACTTAAAGTAAAAAGAGATTTGTACATACTTTGAATAGATTTATCTTCTAAAATAAATGAGATTCTACAAAAAATTATGAAAAATATTATATTAAAGATTCTATTACATTGCTTTAAAACAAAGCACATCAATAAGAAATAGAACATATTTGCATTTCCTTATTGCATAGGATTAATAACCTTCTTTGTATTAATAAATAATAACAAAGAAAAGAAAAGAAAAATTAATTTGGAGAAAAAAATGAAATAAATAGAGTGCAAGGTAGTAAAAATAAAAACATACCAAGTTTGAGAATATTTTATATTTTATCCATATCATGCAATTTTTTAAATTATTAATTTTTTTTATGAGAATTATTATTATATTAGATGGTAGGAGTTTATTTCCACAAAGAAAAAGGGTTATTTAAAGTGCTACTTAAATTAAAATATTTTAAGTTTTTTGATGTCATTGATTTAAAAAAAATATATTATTGATTTTAAATGCTCTATAAAAAATGAGTATGTATATATATATATATATATATATATATATATATGTATGTGTATAATTATAGGTAGTAGAATGTTTCAGGGAATCTTAACATGTAAAGATTATTAGCATGTCAAACAGAATAGACTCTATGAAAACAAGGTGGCTACATATTCTACCCCCAATTTTTGAATGTATATTGTATAATTTAAAATATTTTTTAAAAAATACTACATTCTTAGAAAAAATCTAAGTTTTTTGGTAAAATTTTATAAAGAATAGATAAAATGATACCCATATTTTCATAGTTCATATAAAATTTACATTCTAAGAGTCTCAACAAAACTCAATGTTATATTGTTACTTCAATATCTTAAGAATGATATTACTTTATTATCTAAAAGATATTTAAAATAATTTAGCAAATAAAATCATTGAGATTTTTCAAATGTATCAAGAAGTAATGCAAATGATAATTAAATTAAAGAATTTTTTAAGATCCTAAAGATAAATGTTTGGAACTAATTAATTGATTGTAAATGCACTTAATAGTATTAAAATCTTTAATGTTGCTTAATTCCAAGAAAACATCTATATCTTACATCAACTATTGATTAATACTTGATTTGCTTTGAATTAAATTTTATTAGAGTCGTATTTGATTTTGAATCTTGAAGCTTAGCCAATGCACTACTTGAATATAAGGTATAATGTTTCTCAAATCTAAATATTTCATCTTCTAAATATTTAAAATTTTAGGCATGCAATTATTTTATAGTAATTTTGTAATATAAATGTAATGAAAAAAAATTCTTAGATCTTAAGGATATTCCTATTTAATATTAAATTCTAAGTTTCATATTTACACTATACAAAATTATTTAATTCATCATCAATTCAAAAGTTTTATTTTATTATATAAAAATTAAGTCATAATACCAGTCAAACTTACTTCTGAGTGAAAAAATTAAAAACATAAAAAATAATGTGTGGTTCAAGTTAAAGCTTAAGTATGGAATTGGTTCAAGCCAAAATTGCTATTTTACTTGACTTTTGTGTATTTTTTGGATCTGAGAGTACCTTCTTAGAATTCTCAAAAAATCTAATTGCAAAATCTAATTTGAGTAATTTAATATATATATATATATATATATATATATATAAGATGATAAAATATTATAAGTATTAAAGCTTAAGATATAATTTATTTCAATTTATAATGGCTACTTCAACTCAATTTTTTGTTATTCTTTGATCAAAGAGTACATATTTTAAGGTTTTAAAAAAGTCAATTGTGCAACTAAATTCGATCAATCTAGCAAATTTTTGTGTGCTATTTAGATTTAAAGAGATATGAAATAAAAAACATACAAAATATTAGATATTTAATAGATTTAATTAAAATATATTCTTTATAACTTCTTTATATCCTAGGATCTAAAAAGAATAAGAAAAAAATTTATAAAATTAATTTATAGAATTTAATTTAAATAATTTGGCTATATAAACTATCTTTCTTCTGCTTCTTGGATTTAAGATTCTAAAATATAGATTTTGGAGCTTAGATGATCAACACTTTTTTGGCTAAAATAACCATTTTAATTGGTTTTTTTTAAAAAAAAATATATGTAAGCTTTTTTTTTAATATATATTATGAAATTTTTTTAACTAATTTATGAAAATAAATTTAGAAATAATAGTTATAAATTTTATAATCATATAAAAATTTATTATAATATAAAATAATATTAAAATAATCCACCTATTTACTAAATAGACCTATCATATGATAACCATCATTACAATCATGGCACTTATCTCAATCCCCTTCCTTCTCTCTTCCCCCTCTCTACCTCCATCTCTCAGTTTCTAAGCCTCATTTGCTTTATTTTCAATCTTTTTCATCTCAATCCTCCCATTTTTCTTCTTTCATTCTTAACTCTCATTCCAACCTTTTTTGTCTTCTATAATAGGATGGATTAATTTAGTAAATAGATGAATTATCTAATATTTTTAAATATTTATTAAAATAATATATATTTGATATTTTTAAAGAATTTGATATCATGATTTAAATAAAAATTAATCTTCTTATTTATTTTTTATTTTTTTAAATATTCTTT